GTGTGTAGGTCGTCGCTGGCGCAGGACGAGATGAGGGTCGATACCGTCGACCATCAGCGCACCGAGGCAGCCCGTAGCCGCCGCGCCTGTACCTGCCTGAAGCGTCGAGACGAGGCAGCTGACGATCGTCTGCTTCTCAGCGTTCTTGCCCGAGAGCGCTTGCAGAATGATGCACATGCGAGGATCGAGTCTTGGGTACGACGCTTTTCTGCGCAACGATGGGCGCCACAGCGCGACTTGCCGGGGTGAGAGGTTTGCTGCGGGCGGTCCGTGAGACCCGGCACAGTGTGAAAAAAGCACCGGCGGCACCATCTCATTGTCCTTGAGCGCCTTCGCAGCCGACGCTGCGAGGTCAACATGAACCAGGCCTTCATGCATGTCCACTACGTAGCTCGCGAAGGCGTCCTTACGCGCGCCATGCGCGACGAGCGGGTGGTACGAGATCACGAGAAGCACGGAAAGAGCGCAAAAATCTCGACCTCATGTGTCTCGGACAAACACGGAATGCTAGTCATTCTGTGAGACACATATAGAGTCAAAGATGTGTGGTACCTTGTGCCTAACGCGAGCCAGCGCTACGCGGACGCCTGGAGGTTCGTTGTAGTATGACATGGACCATAGGCGTGCGCCTCTGTGTGTGACCGCCGAGAGAAGACCCATTCATTGGTAGCTCGAGCGCATATCACATCGCGCCAACTGAGTTGGTTTGTCGGCAAATCGTCGATTGGCTAATGATGTCCGGTATCATTATCCGGATGCTCCGAAACGGCGCCACGGGCGCGACATGGTCAAGGCCATCGTCTGCACGCTCGATGTTGTCGCTGTCAACGTTTGTTTCGGCGCGTCGACTATATAGCTGACAGCACGTAGACGCCCAACATCGAAGCAATGGCATTTCTACCGCTATGGCGCCGATGACTGCGACCAGCGCTGCATCGACGCCAGCAACCACGACCCAATACGGATGCGACAGCTCAGCGAGCCTTTTGTGCGTATGTATGCACCTACGCCAAGGTACTAATGCAGGCGCTCGATGGCTGCGGCGCGCTCAACACGTTCCGGATACCACCCATCGAGCTTGGTGATCATCGATCCTCGACGCGGCAGACCCAAGCTCGCTTGCTGCATGAGAACGCAGCGATATATGCTTACCTGGCAAGCCAACGTCCTGTATCGCATGGATTCGAGGCGAAAGAAGGACCTCGGCAACACGAGTTTCACCGTCCATAGTCGACAGGGCGCCCGCTTGCGACGACCCTGCCGTGCGACGCGGTGCCGTGCGACCGAGGCCCTGCAGCGCAAATTGCGGAATGAGCATCGCTCAAGGCTGCTATCCTTCTCTTGTAAAAGCTCTGCGTTTCGCCTTTGTCGAGCTCGCTTTTACACTTGTTTTTACACGACTGAACGTTTGCGCCGAAATGGGACATTCTCCGAGTGGAGGACGCTTGGATACCATCACACGCGTTGCGATACTAGATCACTGCGAGTGCGGAAGCCTACAAGCCTTTCCAAACGCTCCACAGCATGTGCTGGGCGTCGCAACTCCATGAATATTACTAGGAATCGCAATCTTGATCCACTGGAAGGGGAGATTGCCGCCACAAGTGCAGAAGACGAAGACTACGACGTGCCAATGCGATCCTTTGCTTCTTAGCACTTAAGAGCGCTTTGTATCCGTGGTCGAGCACAGCACGCGTTGTACAACTGCAGCGATGACGAATCGCGGTCTGCTCTGCTTTCGAACGTGTCTTCTAGCACCGTGCCAACTTCGAGCGATTCCATTTCAAGCGCGATGCTGCCGGCAAGTAGCGTCGGCGTCGTGGCGTCGTGCCGCTAAGATGGCGCTGCGGTCTTAGTTTGGAGTGCGTCCTGCCTCTAAGATAGCACTACGATCTCAGTTTGGCGTGCATCTTGGATCGCGTCTCGCGACCGATGTATGCCTCGCACGTCGACGCAACCTCCCTTTCTGTACTCTTCACAGCGTTCTTTATCTATGTGCAAAGTCAACGACGACAAGATGGCAAATTTTGATT